CTTTGCCTCAGTGTGGCGGGATCAGATTGGGTGCAATTCCCACACTGTGTCTCTGGTGTTGTCCCCCGCAGGGGATTGTGTATTCTTTCCATCTTCTTTTATTGCTTTCTGCAATGTTCAATGTTTTGCCCATAGAGTCTTTTGATATTGCAAAAATGACTTGAATTTTTTTCTCTTGGGTTCTTCCCATTTACAGTATGTTAAATATGTTCTTCCTTTTTGTTTTCTAACTCTGGATTTTTTTATTTCACATACCCTTGTGAAAGCTGGACATTGAGTAAGGAACACTGAAGAAGAATCCATGCATTTGAATTGCGGTGCTGGAGAATATCGGCAGTACCCTGGACTGCTAAAAAGACAAACCGATCTGTGTTGAAAGAAATAAGTCTAGAGTGCTTTTTAGCGGCAAGGGTGGCAAGACTTCATTTTACATTTTTTGGCCTCATTGTCAAGAGAGACCAATCCCTGGAGAAGAACGTCAGATTTGGTAAAGTGGAAGAGCAGCAGAAAAGAGGAAAGCTCTCAATGACATGGATTGATATTATCGTTGTACCGATGGGCTTAGGAGCAATTATGAGGATGGCACTGGACATAGATCCCAAAGAAATGAGTCAGAACACAAACAGATGAATGCGCTCCCATTTCATTGCAGCACAGTTCACAGTAGCAAGAAGCTGGAAACAGCACAAAGGTCTATCATTAGAAGAACAGATAAAGAACCTTAGTAAATACACACTGTGGAATACTATACACCCTTAAAAAAACAGCCAGGAAACCATGAACACCTCATGAAGTGGATGAACCTGGGAACCATTTTGCTGAGCGAAGGAAGTTAGTCATTCACAAAAGGACAAATATTGCATGAGTCCACTACTAGAAGGATAAACACCAAGGTAAATGCAGGCTTCTGCTTTCATGTCATGTACTCGAATCTGCTCTCCCAGGCAATGAGCTAGACAGTGTGTCTAGTGCCCGTGAACCATATATCACCCCCTTTATATGTACGGCTTAAAAACTACTTCAACACAGGTGACCTCAACCTCATTTGGGGCCAGGTTCTCAAGATAACAGGAAGAGGGAGAAGACCATTCAGTTGCTGCTAGATAACATTGTGCTAAGATCACCCCCAAACCACAGACACTCCTACTTGAGTGATAAGTGAACCCCACTGGATATTCAAGTCAAGACTGGCAGAGCAGGGCATGAATGTCTTGGAGAAGGTAATTACAATTCTGTTTGTGGGTAAATTGAGTGGTACGGGGAGCAAAAGAGGATATGAGCAGATATTTCCCCAATGAGGGCATCAGGCAACCAAAAAACGCTCCCAATTCTTACCCACTCGCCTCCATCAAGTTGTTTCTGACTCTAAGAGACCCTATATATGGTTTAAGAGGATGTTTGAAATGTTCGAAGTTCGACAACTCCTTTGTAAAATGTTGACTTCCCTTTAAAGTGAAACCACTTTCCTGTTTGCTTTACGTGCTAGACTCTTCTCCTCAAAGCCAGAAAACACTGTTGAATGGCATGTGTGTCTCCATTCCACAAAATGT